AAGGAGACTTTGTTTTGGGATGCACAACACCCCTAGATTTGGCTTGATCGAATTGGAATACCTTTTATGTAATTTTAAAAGCATGCAAGTTGTTTAGTGTGCTTATTTTGATATATTTTGTAATTAAGGGCTTTTAGAGTATTTTTTTTGGCATTTGTCATGTAAAGAGGCCGTAGGCCATTGTAAGACCTTTCATTATGTATATTACGTTTGCGGACATGTTCATAAACTCACATAACTTTTAATTTAGGCCTTAGAGCCATCTTTTGGAAATCTACGCGTTTTTGGGCTAAATTGAGTGCCTATGCATGTTCACACATCCTTAATGATTTTCCATGTTATGGGACCTTGTTTGGCACCTTAGAATGTTTTGAAATCTGTTTTGGGACACTCGGGATGCATAGGTAGGATTAGGATTGGACCGAGCGAAGTTTTCATAGTCTGTAGCAGACATTTTTGCTATTTTCTGGTGCATTGGTCGATTGACAACTTCTGTCAGCAAGCTGATAGCCTTTTGTAGGCAATTCTAGAGAGTTTGCTTTTTCATAGGTCGTTTTGGCCGGCTGAACATTAGGTTTCGGTCAGCTGATCTTTGCCGTCGACCTGCTGATCCTCCCTGATGCTTTTCCTTTTTAGCTTTTCTTGGACAGCTCTGATGCGTAGACTTTGAACAACCATATCTTATTCATTTCTAACCCAAATTAAGTCATTCTTGAGTAATTTCAATAGCTTTAAGTCAGATTTCCAATGGTATCAACCACATACAGAAACTCCAATCGCAGTGAAAGTTATGATAGTTTTAGTGAGACAGGGTCGCGGTAACTCTTAACTGGAGGACGCTGCTGATCAGTCTCGTCGACTATCACAATAATAATCAACCCTTTGCAATAGCACAAATCATTGCAAAATAGGGCTATTGTTCGCGTAAGTCGAACCACTGGGATTACTAGTTTATGGCAACCAAGGTTGTTAAAATCACTTAGTTTGATGAAGGGGGTATAGAGTTTTGTTTGGTTTGTCACTTAGAACTAGGGATTAAAGAGTGCATAAAACAATAATTGCAAGGAAATTAAGAGGAAATAAATCTAGGTAGAGAGGACTAGGAAAGTGAATCCACTACCTACCCTATAAACATGCTAAAAATGATTTACATGGGAGAACAACATATATAGTGGTCATGATATGTAGCAACATATGTTTGCTACATTATCTTCAAAAGTTCATTAAATCAAAAGGCAAGAATAACCTATCAAAGTTTCACATGCTTGAACTACCTAAACTAGGGTGTAGCCTTAGATATGCTCACTAAGCTAGAGATTATCAAGCCCTTAATCAAATGATAAAAGCACATGAAATCAAGAATCAAGATTAATCTATTAAAGGGAGGCCCTAAGCTATGGACTAACAAGGTTCTCATAAAACATGCCATTAAAACCATTTTGCAATCTCATTTGCATTATCACAATAAAAATGCAAGCTATACAATTATGAGAAATTATGATCTAAGACAAGACAATAGCTTCAACATAATCATTTATAGAGATTTAAATCTATTACAACATGCAATGTGCTCTAGATTGCAAAACTATCACAAATATACGTTCTTTCCCAAATCAAACCCAAAACTATGGCATGCTTACAAAGTAGGGCTTCATCACCTCCCTAGAAAGGGAGTTAGTTACCCAAGGATGCAAGGGAGGAAGGAGAAGAGAGGAGGAAGCTTTCAATTTTCGCACTTAAAGGACCCAAGACACACAAACCCTCAAGCTCTTAATATTTCTCTCTTTAAAACCTTACAAAAAATGTGAGATTTCAATAATAATGCTTCAAGCCTCTTATCTGGCCAAAAATATCCTCCTTTTCCCTCCATTTTTGTGGCTCAATAACCCTAGGAGATTTCAGAATCACACAATGGGTCAAGGGGATAGCATTGGGTGAAACAATGCAGCGCACACACCTTTGTCTGCAGATTGGTTGGTGCCCGCGGCTTCACGAGGCTACTGTCAATTTGGGCGGGCGCCCGCGGCTTGTCATGAAGGGGCGCCGGGCAACCAGCAGGCGCCCGCGGGTGACGGACGGGTGCCCGTACTTTCACAAACTCTCGGTCCAGGGCGAGCGCCCGCAGTTTCACACTCCTGCTTCATTAAGCTCGGACGGCTTTTGGCTCGGTACATTAATGCGGTCCTCCTCCTAGGCACGATACAGCGAAACTCATGAGTTCAATGGATCACTGGCTTGGCCAAAATGACAGTCTCCGGTAATGGCGCACTTTGTTCTTCAAAACTTATCAAAGCGTCACTTTTAACTTTCTTTGGGGAACCAACCTGAAAATAGACAAAAACATGCAACTAAAGCTAATCTATACAGTATATTCAACTAATTGACTTAACTAATGCAAATAAGGGTGCTTGAATATGCAATATTCGGCGCTTATCAGTTGCTTACTCCATCTTTTCCGTCCGGACTCCGAATCAAGTGATTCTTGAGTTTAAATTTATTAATTTTTCATTCTTTATCCAATGGTATGCACAGTAGAACCCATATCTATTTTGAAAAGACCATTTTGCCCCTCGAGTCATACACAGCCGTTTTTAAACCTAACTTCCGCATATTTTTTTTTTTTTTTTTTTAGTTCCGTGACTTCATGGGAAGTCACGTTTGTGTCTTATGGATAATGTACATCTCTAGAGACCTTGTTTATAGTATTTGCTTCTGCATTTCGGATCCGATATCGGATCAACCTTCGGGTAATCATTGACGCATCAGGTTTGTAAAACTTGGGCCGTCACATACTAGGCTTTGATGAAGCGGAGAACCTCGACACAAAGAGAGGACCGCAAATCATAAATGTAAGATACATATCGTAGACTCTAAGTGATGTGCTTAACACCTTACTCATAACTAACTTTTAAGCTTAGTGCACAATACCCATAATGTGTATATATATGTATGAAGCCAATATAATAATAAAATTCATTATTAAATTTATCAATGAAACAAATTATATTGACTTTTGAAAGTATATACGACTAACAAGTTGAAATCAACTCGGTTTTGAAAGAATTTGAACAACTATTTGAGTTTATTTATTTTATCTCACCTTAATTTGAGACTATGATTGACAAATTTATCGTGGTAAACTGAGCCCAATTGATTCAAACTAATATAATTATTAAAAAAGAAATGATTTTCTTTTTGAATTTGAAGGAATCGAACAAGAAATATGACACCTCTGTATGTCATGTTCGAACATTTCGAATCGAATAGTGCATTACCACTCTCATTAAAATAATACTAAATCAAGAAGAAAGTAAGCATATGACCTAATTAAAAATGATGCATTCGAGTCTAATAGAATCAATACCTAAACTTAATCACACCAATCCCAAAATAACTTGTAAACTCGAACTGAACTCATTGAATTGAATTCAAGTTAAAAAATTAAAATTTATTTAATTATTTATATTATTAATTTTTAGGGTAAAGTACACCAACACACCCTGAGGTTTGCCAATAGGACACACATATGCAACTTACCCTATTTTGGGACAAAGACACTTCCTCAAGTTTAATACAACTACCAAAGACACCCCAATAGTAATGAATTGATATTTTTGCCCTTTGATTTTTATATTGACCAATTTAAATGTTGAAATGACCTTCCTATCCTTTATTTGCAGACTCGTACCCATTTCTATCCTTCTCTCCGTTCTCTCTTCCTCTTTGCTGCCCCAACACCAACCGAGCCGACACTAATTACACCAAACCACTTCTTTATCTTTCCATTTTTTTTTATACACACACACACACACATATAGTTTGGAGTCCTTGCTCGATACCCGCTAGTAGTATCAGTATCCAACCGACTGATTCTAGGCTCGTAGGATGTTTGTGATGTTATCGGTGTAGTTGATTCCGTTGCCTCTCAAGAAAAGTCAGCTTTCTTCTTGCCCCTTTGAACATTGCTTTGCAGGAGATGCTCAGATCAGACAGGAAAAAGAGGGCGCTATATCCACACGCACACACACACGGGCGGCGGCAATGACGACATTGCAGTAGAGGAGGCGACAGTGGTTGCAGTTCCGCCGTCCTCTAAGCTCAGCACGTCGCCGAGCTATCATCACCACTGCTTCGAACCACTGTCTATAGCTACGGTTCCGATCCTTATTCGTCGTCGGGCACTCCTTCATTGCTATTCAGTCACGTCGTCGGCATCCTTGCTCGCCCCCGCTGTTTAGTTCCTTACTGCCGTTCTTCAACACCGAACCCATGCAAAGACCATCCCATGCCATCAATCATCTTCTTCCCCCAGATCGCGTGTCCAACACACGCCGATGCACCACCACGCTCCCAACAACTTCCACAGCAAACCGTCCTCGCCGTTCAGACCTTGGTCTTCGAAATCACCGACGTTGTCTCATCTCACCGCTGGTGATCCCAACACGTCGGCGATCCCATTCCACCGAAACCATTTGTTCGTTGACTAATCAGACACAGATTCGCTGACGTCGAAATCTGTGGCCACTATTGAAATCACCAATCTCTCCCGATGATCTCTCCCGTTACCGTAAGGATTCACAAAAGCCGAGTTCGCCTGAATTGAGGCTGAGCTCCGATGAGGTCGAGAAGGTGGCGGTGGCAGAGCTCCTCTTTGGCGTATTCTTTAGTGGGTGGTGATCACGGAGGTTGGGGGTGGTGGAGACTCTGGTTGTTTGTGTATATATATATAAAGAGAAAGATGAAAAGGGTAAGTTGATCATTTAAGTATTTTGATATTTTATAATTAAAATTAATAAAATAGTGAAGGGTAAATTGAACTTTTTACATATTTTAAGACTATGTTTAGAAGATAAATTTCACAAAAAGTGTCGTTGTCTAAAAGTAGATAAACTTTCGTCTGCACAGACTGCATGTACTCACCAAATAACAGAGAATGTCCGCGTACTTAATCTTATTTTTATTTTTAAAGTAAGAGCTGAGTATTGGGCTGGTGGAGTGGTGGACTCGTACCATCAACCTACTAGAGTTGCACCCCTTGTAATGTCGTTGCTATAAGTCACACACAGTGCACATAGTACAATAATAGGCTGTAGACATCGCAAAAGAAACGAGCAGGGACTATACATTAACCAGTGTCGAGGGTTTTGACACTCAGAGATAGCCTTCGCATTAAAACCCTCAAAATGGGAAGTGCCGCAGTGGAGAAGACGGAGGAAGAGCTCCGCAAAGAGATCGAAGAGCTTCGTCGCCAACAATGGGAGGTACTTCCTCTCTCTCTCTCTATATAGAATATATAGATTAATATATAGATTTCCTTTGTTTTTTGGCGCGTTTGATTCTTTGTTTCACCAACACAGATTACAGAGCGGCTTCGTGATCCAAGGGGTCTCCGCCGAGGAGGCTTATCCGGCTCTGGTCCTCGGAATTTTAGCGCCAATGGTGCTCGTCAACGAGGCTTTGTTAGACCTGTAATCTCTCTCTCTCTCTCTCTCTCTATATATATATGTGTGTGTGTGTATCTTTGAATTTCTGGGTAATTACTTGATTGATGAATTTTAGGCTGAAAGGACTGAACTAGAAGACCAACCCGCACAGAAAAGGAGGCTTTCTTCTGCTGTTGTTAAAGTAAGCACAGCTCGTCGTTTGGCCTTATTTTTTACCCTAATTTTTTCTGGAGTTTTGTTTGGATTTTGGTCTTATGTTTAATTTGGGAGTGAAGGTTGAAGATGGAGAGATTACTGAGGATGCTGTCGAGGTTGCGAATAATGCGAAAAAGGATTCAACTGTGGAAGATGGTGGGGGAAGCTTTGCTGCAAACCTGAGTGAGAGAAAACCATCCAATTGGTTAAGGAGGGATACCAATCCGAGGCAATTCAAGACGGTAAAAGTTGAAATTTCTTGCTTTGTTGATTCCTCCTTAGTTGAGGTGTGTTGGTATTTATTGGAGAAGATTGAAGCTTTCTGTTTGTTGCTATGTTATTAGGAATTTGAAGATCCTGTATTGGAGCATGTTCCGAGGGTAGTGCCGAAGGATGAGGACCCGAGTTTGGTTAATAGGAATAAAAGAATGCTGGGGCAGCTCTTGGGGACCTTGGAGGTTTGTGTTGAATTGCTTGTCCTGTTTATCTCTTTAAAGATATGAACTTCATGTTGCAGGAAGTATTCATTTTTTTGATCATTTTATTGATTTGAAGAAATTCCAGATGATTCTGGTCTGTTGAAATAGCATTGCTAGTTCAGTCTTTTTAGAACTTTGCATATTTTTCCTTTCAAAAGCATATGCAGAGACATGTTGAGTTTTATAACCTGCGATTGGCATTGCTATAGTACTTTATTTTTTGCAAGAAACAAGGAGAATTAATAATAAATAATATAAGGCATTGCCGCATCCTGCTCATTTTTTTGTTAAATTGAATGAATTTGAGGGGAGTTAGATGTGCTTGTGATATGTGAACAGTAGTTGTGTTTCTTATTTTCTTTTTTGAGTTTGGGAGAATGAGTTGGTCCAGACGGGCAAAGGCCAAGAGCAAGGGTGAGAGAGTGTTGAGTCTGTTGACTTTGAAAATATCCCAAGATTAAGAGGTGCTAAATGGCGCCTACGTTCATATGCATTTGCAATATGTTTGCCTATATAAATTGAATGTTTATGTATATATCATAAATAATCTAAGTGATGTAATGAAAATGATTGAAAACTAATCCAAAAAATTGAAACATCATTGGTCGATGGAACATGTCACGAGCTTCCGTCAGGTCATGGGTTCAAGCGTCACCTCTTGAGTTCTTTTAGAATTTTTTAAAATAGGGTTTTGTTCTGCTATTTGTTAGACATGTCAATAAAACATCCTACATCATTGTTCGGTGGTGGTACTTAACATGAACTCAAGTCATTTGATGGAGCCACGTTTCGCAAACTCCTTTAGAATTTTTTTGACATATGGTACCTTTCCACTAACTGTTGATTGGGTCCAACTTGGTAAGTTGCTGTCCCCACAGCTTGTTAATAGGATTCCATTTCACTGGCTTGTTGATCGGTATAAGTGACAGTATTTGGATATCCGGTGGAGCTGTCTGGAATTTTGAATTATCATAGAGAATTTGCAAATAGGTGTTGAATTAGCTCTGAGTGCACTGACCTACCTGTGGATGGTATTTTTATCGCTACATGTGAATGAAGTAGGGAAATTAGTTATAGTTGTTTTTATCTTGTTGAAAGATAATTCTGTTTGTAATTTGGAAGTGAGCAGTGGAAAATTTTCAACTCCATTTAAGTGTGGCTGAAAAGTTACAATTGAGTTGATTAAAATATAGGGATACAATTCCTAGGCTTGGTTGGTGTTATACTTGTCACCAAAAAAAAAAAAAAAAAAAAAAAAAAAAGAAAAAAAAAAAATTTGAGAAGAAGAAGAATGTTGGCATAGAGGAAGCACTAATTAACATGGATTGAGATACGACCAAAGCCATTACAAGGCTTTATTGAGTTGGATTTACTGTTTACCAGTAGCAAATTTAAATGTAAATCCTTTTTACATCCTAAACATATTTGCCTTTTCTCTCTCCATATATAGCTTGAGCTAGCAGAGATTTTCTAGGGCCCAGTTCGTGTGGTTGGAGTTATGACAATTTGGTAAATATTGATTGTTCCTGAAGCTGCTCAGTATTATCGGGGCTAGAGTGATGAAGATATATTAAGTTTTTTCTTATAGCTGAAGGGCCTTCAGGCCCTTGAATTTTTTCTTTTATTTTATTTTCCTGAAATAAAAAATCCACTAAAGGCACCCATGGGAACATCATATGTACATTTAGACTACGGATAGGCTAATTATACAAAATTATATACTCAGATATCTCCCAGAGACTTTTTTTTTCCCCTTCTTTTTGGTTGGGAAAAAAAAGAACACACCCCCATACACCCACACCCACACCCACTGTTGCTCCATAGGAGGCTTGTCCCCTCAACCCCCCATGTGGAAGGAGGAGGAGATACCACTAGGTTGACTTCACATAACAATTATTCCTAGTAGAATAACCCCTTTCACTCAAAAATTTAATACTAGAAAAAAAATTGTATAGCTTCAAAATTGAACCTCCAGGAACTCAAAGGAATGCCTAACTATTCCCTCCAAACACACTGACAATAGAAAATAGGGACCGACTATTATGATGAAACACCTCTCCGGCTTGTCAAAAAAATTGTTTAGCTTCAAAATTGTACCTCCAGGAACTCAAAGGAATGCCTAACTATTCCCTCCAAACACACTGGCAATAGAAAATAGGCTCCGACTATTATGATGCACTGTAGCACCCCTCCGTCTTGCCAAAAATTCTATAGCAAGGCAAGGGAGAGAAGAAGCTTCGTAGCTCCTTCACAATCTGACAGGGGACAGACTAGCTGGCTTTGCATCATTTTCACACACAAGCATATTGGTTTACAATAAAATTTGTCTCCTCAATTTTCAGTAGTCAGTTTTTCAGAGCATTACCATCCACCTAAGAAGCCATCTGGTTAGCATATTATACGATATAAATCACCAAATGGCTTTCTGAGGAAAGCAATCTCATTGCAAAATCAGGGCCTTACAAAAATAATGGACTTTGACTTTTTCTTCTTTTGAAACCATCCATCTGAAAGAGTTTTCCGCCTCCTATCCTCTCTTTAATTGTATGTTTGGTGGGAAGGAAGGATTGAGGAAGGATGGAAGAGAGGAAGGATAGAAGAAGCTTTCTTTGTTTGGTTAGAAGGAAGGGATGAGAGGGTGGAAGCAATGAGGGATGAAGGATCCCTCCTAACCCATGTTTTTTTTGTCCGTCCAAAATTGGGTGGAAGAGGAGGGAAAGAAAGAAGAACTATCCTACAAATAAGTAATATTTTAATGTTCAATTATTTATTTATTTTTTGATAAGTTAACGTTCAATTATTTATAAAATCACTTGTTAAACCCTATTGAATTCTCTCACATATAATGTGGGTATCTCTTTAAAAAAATATATTACGTATATAAGAACTCTCCCCTTCCTTCCAACCAAACAAAAAAAAAGTGTCATCCCCTCCATCCTTTTTACTATCCCTTCCATTCAACCAAACAAAAAGTGAGGGAGACACTTCCCCTTCCCTAGGGATGCCTCATTTATCTTTCCCTCTCTCCCTTCCGTCCACTTTTCTATCCCTCAAACCAAACAGAGCATAAATAAAAAAATCCAAAGAAATCAATGAACTCCTCTAGGTCCCAGTCCATAGAATGGCTATGCAAAACTGATGATTGAAATAGTCTTCTCCTGTATCACGTTGATGTAATCAATGGCAATCCCCAGAGGTCCAGTAAAGTCCTCTTTGGCAGACCATCCCTGCACCAATAGTCACACCAAAAACTTTCTTTGTATTTTCCTCACAACAAATCTGATTACTCCAAGAAACCCTTTTGCTCATGGTCTTCAACAGCTCCACTTTATATGCTGTTCTACCCTCCCACAAATAGCAATCTCCTTTCCTCGTGCCGTATTTCTTCTTTACTATATAAACTACACTCTTTTCTAAACACTCTCATTCCCACATGTGCACACTGCTTTGTTGAAGAGATATCCGAATCCAATCCCCTGCCATAATAATAGGAGAGACACCGACTTCCATTCAACAAAGTCGAATTTAAACTTAGGAATATAAGATTTCAAATTTATTAGTTGAAGATGATTTCTTGTATAAAAGAAAGATTTGAATCAAATTTAGTTTGAGAGAGTGGTGTAATCTGTTGTCAATCAGTAAGCCTGAATCAATTAAATAGCCATCGAGTAAAAATTCTGTATTTTTCTATGTTGACAGCCATTGATATCGGAAACTTCAACTGAATTATCGTTTTATACACTTTGACTTGGATTGTATTGACATTTAGGGTAATTCAGAATAATGACTATTGCTTATTTGATATTTCTTCACAATAATTGAAGATAATCAGGCGCTCCATATTTTTATGAAGAAATATCAACATTGAGGGAGAAAAAAAAGAAAAAAGGAAAAATTAGTTCTATGCCACCTTAACCGTGCCAAGAACCTCAATAGGCCTTCCTATTTGTGCCCCTCGTATCTTTGGCGGTTTCAATCCTTTTAGATCACTGAATGCTAAGTCCAGAACTTAAAATTCGTCATATATTTTTTTGATAAGTTAAAAAAAAAAAAAAAAAAAAAAAAAAATGGTAATTTATTAAGGCTTACTATTGTGATGGTTGTCTCTCATTTTATATTATTTGAGGGGTCTTGGCACATTTTTGTATTTTTGTGTCAATGGTAATTTATCTCAAGCTTACCAAAAAATTATTAAAAAAAAAAAAAAAATCAGCTCAGCTGTCTTCAAATTTTGTGATTCTATGTTCAAAACATGTGAGGTGATTCATTTAGCTACTTAATTATGGTAAGTCAAGGACTCTCCAAGCAAGCCTTGTGAGTAAACCTAAAATAGATTATTCATTTATGAAGCAAATATTGTTTTTGTTTACTTCCTTACCCTCCCATGTGTGGGAAGCCAAGGGGTTGGATGCGCTGGCGATTCATTGGTGTGCCTTGGACTCTTGGTCAGTTGGTTGAGGAAGCTCATGAGAGCTGTACCAAGAGAATGTTCTGACCTTGCACTCTCCTCAATCCACTGGTGCACTGCATGTCCTCCCTCCCCCCTCCTCTTCCCTTTTTATTTTTATTTTTTTTAGTTTTCCTTCTTTTTGTTGTTGTGGGTTGGGTTTGGGGGATTAGGAGGTGGTGTATATCCTGTGGCTAAATTCAGTGATTTAAATACATTAGTTTCAACTTGTTTAACTTAGCTAATACAACCATATGAAGCAACCTTTAGTAGATGTGTTGTGTTAATTTTATAAGTAAAATTCAGCTATCTTAAAATCTAGTGATTCTGGCAACTAATTGCATAGTTTATCATTTGGAGTTCCCAATTCATAGGTGTGGTAATCAGACTTATTTGGCTAGCATGAACTGTATTTCATCTAAATTTCTATTTTCTCTTTATCTATCCAATGAAAAATTCTAGCATTATAATTTTTAATATTCTTTTTGGTAATTACTAGCAAGAACACATAAACAAGTACTCAATTTAAATATAAATTACTGTATCAAAATAAAATGAATGAAATATATTTAATAACAAAGTACCATGTATTATATAAATATATGATTATAATGTAATACATTGTAAGATCCAAGTCTATAACCTTTTCTAGCTACTGGTCATTTGTCTAAATTATATAATTATCGGAAAGTGATTGTTCTTTTTTTCCAAGTTTAACTATATTATATGATCTAGAAATTCGAGGGGACAGAAGAAAGGAGGAGGTGGAAGAAGAGATGATGTTGAATTTGAGAGTTAGGGAAAGCATAATACGTTATTTGAGAAGAAAAAAATAGATGAAAGTGGGCTCGTGTCCTGACTCCATGCTTTTCCGACCGACAAATTCCTGTTGATTATATTGTTAAAGTGAACTTTATCTTTCCTGCATTTGTAATAATAATTTCATTTTTCTTTCTCACTTGTGTCAAACTCTTTCAGAAATTCCGGAAAGAGGACATGCAACTTTCGGGCACAGAAGCATTCATGCGGAGGTCAAATTCTTTACAGAGAGTGAGTACATGTCAAATCTGCACTTAATTTCTTCCACTGCATTTTAACTCTTATTTTTCCCCTTAATGGAGAAAGAGCAGCAAATTTAGTGAGCAATTCAGTAACAAGCATGACTTGATATTTTAGACTCGCAAATTAGAACGTTGAAATTCAAATTCCGAATTTTAACCTTTTTCTCATGTGATTGTTTTAGAAAATCAAGAAATGTATTTAATGCTATATCAAAGTGGACTTTGGTAAGCCTGTTGGGTGTATATGTGTTCATATATCAGGATTTATCTAACATTCAAGTGTCAAGACACTGCGATGTCCTGGATGAGTTGGAGTGGATTAACACAAGTTTCTACATAAGATAGGATACCCAACACCGTTCAATCATTTTTTGGGATATTAATTTAATGTAGAAATGCATTAGGAAAGTATCCTGAAAAATCCTATAAAAGGGGTGATGTTTTCTTCTCTCTCTCTTGTAGGACACTTGGACATTTTGGCAGGGATGTTGTCCAACACATATCCTGCATGTGCATGGATAGTCACATATATCTAAAAAAATTGAAATTGAAATTTGAGGTTTATAGTATCTTTAGTAGCAATATTGAGCATATTGTGAATTTACATTTGCTATGTGTAAAAAGAATAGGCACGATGGCTGGTGTCGTCGTGAACCAACAAGTTAAAATATATTAAAGAGTGGCCAAGTTTGAATTTATGAAATGCCACTACCACTTCTAACTAAAAATATAGTTAGGGTGAGTAGGGATCGTCCCAAGGGATTGGAATCGTACTTTTGCTTAGAAATAAGGTCGGATTAGTAGGTCGAGTGAACAAAAGGTGGTTTGATTGGTTAATTAAATTACAATTTTTACTAAATGGATGCAAGGTAAAGTAATTGAAATAGAGTAAAATGTAGAGAATATAAGAGAGAGATCTTGGGACTTAGAGGTCGCCACTAAGCATCACCTTCCTATACACTCAATATGCAATAAATGAGGGGAGTTATATGTTGCAATATTAGTGTGTATCATTGATTGAATCAACAAGCATGGATAACCAATTAAGCATACATTGTCTAGACAACTAATGAATAGCACAATATATCGAATTAAGCCATTGTTCCTTCCTTTAAGCTCACAATCAAAACACATCAATAAACTAAGAAATATACTACTTGCATTCATAAGCATGGAACATCAAACAACAAGCATGGATTGTCCTCCCATCTAAGAAAGTAAGGCAACTATACTATAACTAAGCTAGGGACATGAAAATTAAACTAATTAAACTAAGGAAGATGCACAATCCACCAAGAAATGAGTATGAACCATCAAACAAACCACAAGAGTATTCCATTAAAGCACCATGCCTTGACAATCTCTAGATTCATAGCATCAACACATATAGACATGCATCAATATCACAAAACCTAGAGATAAACACATGAACATATATTCTAGCATACATAGACATATGAATAGAATGAAATGATTAATTGGAAGTATTAAACCACACAAATCATTATAGAAACATGATTCATGTATAAATCAAATGTCAAGACAAGAATTACAACACAAATCCCCTCAAAACACAAAACATCAAGATCTAGAAAGCATGCTTAGGGCTAACTCTAGCCCCAAGAGAATGGTTTAGCCACTCATTGATGTAGTCATCCAACCCTCAAGGGCATCTCCATGGTAGGAATGCTCTTCTTCTCCTTGATGCTCTTCTTGTGTATGATTCTCCAAGATTGTATATGTGTAAAATGGCTCAAAATTCTTATATAGGTAACTCAAGTGTCACACCCAATGGTCAGACCTCGTGCACTAGGACCTCCAAATGATTGCACCACGAGTACCCTTTTAATTAGCTGGAACTCTGTTTTTTTTAGCATTTGGGGGGGTTCGATTGATTGAAGTCCGATGAGATCGATCGAACCATGGTGGCGCCTTTTTGGAATAAGACAAATCTGAGATATTTTTGGGATATTTTGGGAAAAAGACAAAAGTGGTAGGTGGGGATAAGATCAAGGGTGTTCGATCGATTAGAGAAATGTTGGATCGATTGAAGAAGGTATTTTGGTGAGGAAAATGACAAAAGTCTCGATCTATCTTGAAATGGACGATCACTGTGAGATCGATCTGAGCTTGGTCTGATCGATCGAATAATGCTGCTTTCCACCTCTTCACTTCCACTTTGCTCTTTTCTTCCATCCAGCTTGAGATTGCTTCTTTTATGCTCTAATTTAGCTGAATTAGTTTATTTTGGGGATAAGTGCCTAAAAAGGGTAATAACATGAAATTAGTCTAAAACGGAAAAATAATATAGATAAAGGTTCTAGAATACTCGAGCCTAAGGGGTTTAAATGCGCACTTTTTAGCGCTCATCACACTCCCAAACTTAAATATTGCTAGTCCCTAGCAATGAACTACAAAGTAAAGGAATGAAATGAACAACAAAACAATTATAATCTAGAAAACAATAAATGGATAACGCCACTTTCGTAGGGAACACGATTGCATTTAGCTTTTGCAACAAGCCTTTTAAACCCCTAGGTTACCCCTAGTGGACGAGTGAAGTCTTGTGAGGGTTTTCAGAAATGATACCCACAAATATTAAGCTCATTCTCACAAAAGAGGCACCACCAATATTGCAAACAAGCATTGGGAGAAAACTACCTCAAGTATGCAATTTTTTAACCATTTCCAAGTAATATCCCAAAATCTCAACATTAAGCAAACAAGTATGGTCCCTCCACACATCAAGAAAATGATCATGCAAATCAAAACAACTCTAGAATCCTTTTTGAGTAAACTGGCATCAAATATGTTGCTATCTAAGTCAACTAAAGCAATGATCACATCCTTGCCCTCAACCTAGCACACAAATCTAGTACCGATCATCAAGACAAAGAGTGAACCTTTTATTAAAGCTTTATTCATCTAGGTGCGCTTTTTATTTTCACTCGATTTTTTTTTTTTTTTTTTTTTTTAATTTTGTTTTTTCTATCCTTAAGGATCAAAGATGGAAGCATAGTGCAATGTGTTGATCTATTAAGCTTTCTAGCGATCTATGAGGTCGAGCGTTAGGTCAATGACTCCCAAACCGGACGGTTTTAAGGCATTAGGTGTTCAAACACCCCTAAGGACTTACAAGTTCAAATCAATTAGGTTATAAATCAAAACAATCTCCATCTAATCATTTCCCACATCTTACCTTTTGGGAGAAGTCCGCATTTTTTTATTTGCTTTTGCAACAATTTTTTTTTTTGCATCAAATTATTAACCTAGATTTTGGGCCCTCCACCTTTCGGCGCGAGAAATTCAGTGCTTGATGAGGCTGAAATCCCGGCTACTCAATGAAAAAGGTTTTGTTATCCACTTTGTCAAAATGAAAGTTTTTAATGCACTACTAGCTCAATTGGGATATAACCAATTCAATAATTAATAAAGCATGTACCCCACAAATGAATGCTAGTGTGCGCCTGTGCTAGTGTAGAATCCTAGAGTGAATATCAAAACAATCACAAAATCAAGATGATGTGGACCACAAATGCGAGCAGGATACCAATTTTTCGAAAAATTTACTCCTAAATGGTCTCCATAAGGCATACAAGGAGTATTGGACTCTTAAGTCAAGCAATTTTTAAATTTTAAGCAATATAGTCCTCAAAAGATCAAAATCATCGCTAGTCATGGACCAATCATAGAAAATTTCTCAAATACACAAGTCATGCTCAAAATGTTGAATTGAAAACAAACACTGCAAAGAATACACATTACCCTCATACTTAAATTGCACAGTGTCCTCAATGTGCAAAGAGAACAATCATAAAGAGGAAAGAGTATACCAGTGCAGCTATGTCAAGAAAATGGCTGGAATATAAGTATCCGAAGTGGGTGGTATAACCCCCCCAAACTTAGGATTTATTGTGGTCCTGAAAAGATGGCACTAGGATAAAATCTCATCAGATAACAAAGGGGATAATAATAGTGCACAGTGGACATGCAAGTGTAAGTGGGATAGGAAATGAAGTAAAGAGAGATATATAGATCAAGCAGAGGAGGTCGGTCTGGCGGGGCGTGAATCCCGGATATCTTTGGATATGCTCTGCAGTGCAGTCAAGATGTCTGTGCGGAGAGTAGTCACGTCCGCTCGGAGAGAGACAACCGCATCCTCCAAGGTCTGGATACGCTCTCCTAGGCTGGGTGTCTGAGCTGGAGCGTTAGGGAGCGTTAGGGATATGATTGGATCAGGAAACTGAGGCTCATCCTGACTCTGCTCCTGTGAATGTAATGGTGACCCTGCCGGAGAGTGATGTGGTGACTCTGCTGGGGGCTCTTGCTCCAGGTCTATGTCCATATGTGCATCCGCAGCCGCCGGTGGGTCTGTTGGATCATCTGCTGCTGCTGCTGCTGCTGCCTCCATCTCGGCTAACTCTGCCTCTTCAACTACCAAGATGGCCTCGTTCTCTAGACTCTTTATAAGAGCATTGTAGCTCTTGTTCCAGTCTTTCTTGCCATAGTGGCAAGCCCCTGTCTCAGTATGCTTCTCTGAATGGAAAGGATAGTGCTGGTCTCTGAGGATATGAGTAATCAGATGTGCAAAGGGAAGGAACGTGGCTCGCCTGGGCTTTGCCTTGATAATGTAACTCGGGTAAAGCCTCATCATTACACTCTTTTAGAGTGCAGGAACAGAAAACCAATGGCTTGTATAGAAGGCATAGAGGGCTGCAAGAAAATCTAAACGGCGCTGAATCTTATGGCCCGCCATAAATACATTTCGGTATAACACTGAATCCAAGAACCATAAATCGTTAGGCAAATAAGTCCTGGTGGCAAATGTTTCACCAGCACTGGCAGGCCAGTCAGAACTGTGGTCATGTCTGCATCAGATGGCCTCCTGAGAATAGGATAATGAAGGCCGGGAGGGCAGACGTGTGGGCACTGAGAGGATGTGGCTAGTGTCTCGACTATAATGCGGATGAGATGGCCATCAATGGTGGT